TGTTTTTTGACTCCACATATACCTCAATGCACCACTCACCTTTTTTCCTTCATCAATTCTATGATTAACCTCATCCTTCATAAATCCATCCGCCAACACGTCAACTCCCAAGTATCCGAAAACATTCACTTCTTCCATACTCCTCCTCCCCAATTTGATATCCAATTTTTCTTTATCTAAATCATTTGATACCCTCATCACCTTACTCTTTTCTATGTTCACTTTCAACTTTCTACCTTTACACACACTCCCCAACTCATCCACTAACCTTTGCAATTTTTCTTTAGAATCTTCCATAAGCACAGTATCATCAGCAAAAAGTAACTGTGTCAATTCCCATTTTGTATTTGATTCCCCATAATTTAATCCCACCCCTCTGCCAAACACCCTAGCATTTACTTCTTTTACAACCCCATCTATAAATATATTAAACAACCATGGTGACATTGCACATCCCTGTCTAAGACCTACTTTTACTGGGAAGTAGTCTCCCTCTCTTCTACACACCCAAATCTGAGCCTCACTATCCTCATAAAAACTCTTTACAGCATTTAGTAACTTACCACCTATTCCATATACTTGCAACATCTGCCACATTGCTCCCCTATCCACTCTATCATATGCCTTTTCTAAATCCATAAATGCAATAAAAACTTCCCTACCTTTATCTAAATAATGTTCACATATATGCTTCAGTGTAAACACTTGATCTACACATCCCCTACCCACTCTGAAACCTCCTTGCTCATCCGCAATCCTACATTCTGTCTTACCTTTAATTCTTTCAATTATGGCCCTACCGTACACTTTTCCTGGTATACTCAGTAAACTTATTCCTCTATAATTTTTACAATCTCTTTTGTCCCCCTTCCCTTTATATAAAGGGACTATACATGCTCTCCGCCAGTCCCTAGGTACCTTCCCCTCTTTCATTTTTTATTATTATCACACTGGCCGATTCCCACCAGGGCAGGGTGGCCCGTAAAAGAAAAACTTTCACCATCATTCACTCCATCACTGTCTTGCCAGAAGGGTGCTTTACACTACAGTTTTTAAACTGCAACATTAACACCCCTCCTTCAGAGTGCAGGCACTGTACTTCCCATCTCCAGGACTCAAGTCCAGCCTGCCGGTTTCCCTGAATCCCTTCATAAATGTTACTTTGCTCACACTCCAACAGCATGTCAAGTATTAAAAACCATTTGTCTCCATTCACTCCTATCAAACACGCTCACGCATGCCTGCTGGAAGTCCAAGCCCCTCGCACACAAAACCTCCTTTACCCCTCCCTCCAACCTTTCCTAGGCCGATCCCTACCCCGCCTTCCTTCCACTACAGACTGATACACTCTTGAAGTCATTCTGTTTCGTTCCATTCTCTCTACATGTCCGAACCACCTCAACACCCTTCCTCAGCCCTCTGGACAACAGTTTTGGTAATCCCGCACCTCCTCCTAACTTCCAAACTACGAATTCTCTGCATTATATTCACACCACACATTGCCCTCAGACGTGACATCTCCACTGCCTCCAGCCTTCTCCTCGCTGCAACATTCATCACCCATGCTTCACACCCATATGAGAGCGTTGGTAAAACTATTCTCTCATACATTCCCCTCTTTGCCTCCAAGGACAAAGTTCTTTGTCTCCAGAGACTCCTAAGTGCACCACTCACCCTTTTCCCCTCATCAATTCTATGATTCACCTCATCTTTCATAGACCCATCCGCTGACATGTCCACTCCCAAATATCTGAATACATTCACCTCCTCCATACTCTCTCCCTCCAATCTGATATCCAATCTTTCATCACCTAATTTTTTGTATTCGTCATAACCTTACTCTTTCCTGTATTCACTTTTAATTTTCTTTTGCATACCCTACCAAATTCATCCACCAATCTCTGCAACTTCTCTTCAGAATCTCCCAAGAGCACAGTGTTATCAGCAAAGAGCAACTGTGAGAACTCCCACTTTATGTGTGATTCTTTATCTTTTAACTCCATGCCTCTTGCCAAGACCCTCGCATTTACTTCTCTTACAACCCCATCTATAAATATATTAAACAACCACGGTGACATCACACATCCTTGTCTAAGGCCTACTTTTACTGGGAAATAATTTCCTTCTTTCCTACATACTCTAACTTGAGCCTCACTATCCTCGTAAAAACTCTTCACTGCTTTCAGTAACCTACCTCATACACCATACACCTGCAACATCTGCCACATTGCCCCCCTATCCACCCTGTCATACGCCTTTTCCAAATCCATAAATGCCACAAAGACCTCTTTAGCCTTATCTAAATACTGTTCACTTATGTGTTTCACTGTAAACACCTGGTCCACACACCCCCTACCTTTCCTAAAGCCTCCTTGTTCATCTGCTATCCTATTCTCCGTCTTCCTCTTAATTCTTTCAGTAATAACTCTACCATACACTTTACCAGGTACACTCAAGAAACTTGTCCCCCTATAATTTTTGCACTCTCTTTTGCCCCCTTTGCCTTTATACAAAGGAACTATGCATGCTCTCTGCCAATCCCTAGGTACCTTACCTTCTTCCATACATTTATTAAATAATTGCACCAACCACTCCAAAACTATATCCCCACCTGCTTTTAACATTTCTATCTTTATCCCATCAATCCCGGCTGCCTTACCCCCTTTCATTTTACCTACTGCCTCACGAACTTCCCCCACACTCACAACTGGCTCTTCCTCACTCCTACAAGATGTTATTCCTCCTTGCCCTATACACGAAATCACAGCTTCCCTATCATACATTTATTAAACAAAAGTACCAACCACTCCAACACTATATCCCTCCCTGCGTTTAACATTTCTGTCATGATCCCATCAGTTCCAGCTGCTTTACCCCCTTTCATTCTACGTAATGCCTCGCATACCTCCCCCACACTTACATTCTGCTCTTCTTCACTCCTAAAAGATGGTATACCACCTTGGCCAGTGCTTGAAATTACTGCCTCCCTTTCTTTGTCAACATTTAAAAGTTCCTCAAAATTTTCTCGCCATCTACCTAATATCTCCCTCTCCCTATCTACTAACTCCCCTACTCTGTTTTTAACTGACAAATCCATATGCTCCCTAGGCTTTCTTAACTTGTTTAACTCCAAATTTTTTTCTTATTTTCATTAAAATTTCTTGACAGTGCCTCTCCAACTCCATCATCTGCTCTCCCTTTGCACTCTCTCACCACTCTCTTCATCTTTGTTTTACTCTCCATATACTCTGCTCTTCTTATAACACTTCTGCTTTGTAAAACCCTCTCATAAGCTAACTTTTTCTCTTTTATCACACCCTTTACTTCATCATTCCACCAATCATTCCTCTTTCCTCCTGCCCCCACCCTCCTATAACCACAAACTTCTGCCCCACATTCTAATACTGCATTTTTAAAACTCATCCAACCCTCTTCAACCTCCCCACTACTCATCTTTGCACTAGCCCACCTTTCTGCCAATAGTCGCTTATATCTCACCCGAACTTCCTCCTCCCTTAGTTTATACACTTTCACTTCACTCCTACTTGTTATTGCCACCTTCCTCTTGTCCCATCTACCTCTTACTCTAACTGTAGCTACAACTAAATAATGATCCGATATATCAGTTGCCCCTCTATAAACATGTACATCTTGGAGCCTGCCCATCAACCTTTTATCCACCAGTACATAATCTAACAAACTACTTTCATTATGTGCTACATCATACCTTGTATATTTATTTATTCTCTTTTTCATAAAATATGTATTACTTATTACCAAATCTCTTTCTACACATAGCTCGATTAAAGGCACCCCATTTACATTTACCCTGGCACCCCAAATTTACCTTCTACTTCCTCCACAACATTTTTACCCACTCTAGCATTGAAATCCCACGCATTCATTCAACATTTCCCAAAATCTCTCTCTCTCTCTCCTCTACACTTCTCTCTTCTCCAGGTGCATATATGCTTACTATAACCCACTTTTCACATCCAATCTTTATTTTACTCCACATAATCCTTGAATTAATACATTTATACTCCCTCTTTTCCTGCCATAGCTTATCCTTCAACATTATTGCTACTTCTTCTTTAGCTCTAGCTCTATTTGAAACCCCTGACCTAATCCCATTTATTCCTCTCCACTGAAACTCTCCCACCCCCTTCAGCTTTGTTTCACTTAAAGCCAGGACATCCAGCTTCTTTTCATTCATAGCATCCACAATCATCTCTTTCTTATCATTCGCACAACATCCACGCACATTCAGACAACCCACTTTGACAATTTTCTTCTTCTTATTCTTTTTAGTAATTATTACAGGAAAAGGGGTTACTAGCCCATTGTTCCCCGCATTTTAGTTGACTTTTACAACACGCATGGCTTACGGAGGAAAGATTCTTATTCCACTTCTCCATTGATATAGAAGGAAAAGTAATAAGAAACAAGAACTATCAAGATAAAATCAAAGAAAACTCAGATGAGTGTGTATAAATAAACATGTACATGTATGTGTAGTGTGACTAAGTGTAAGTAGAAGTAGCAAGACATACCTGTAATCTTGCATATTTATGAGACAGACAGAAGACACCAGCAATCCTACCATAATGTAAAACAATTACAGGCTTTCGTTTTACACCCACTTGGCAGGACGGTAGTACCTCCCTGGGTGGTTGCTGTCTACCACTCTACTACATCCTACTATATTGGCCGATGTGTTAATAAAAATAAAAAAAAATTTTTAGAACAATGGATTTTGTCAGATTTTCTCTGTTAAACCTGAAATCCATTAAATCAAGGTTTTACTGTACAGATCTTCAAAGATTTATACTTTATGCAAAAATGTTAAACTCCTGTGATTATACTTATAGCAAGACTTATGCTACCAAAATGTACTCATCAGGGAAGGTGCACCTTCAGAGAGTAAGGTCTGCAGGCTTGAAAGAAAGAGTAAATTAAACAACATAGTATTTAATTTTATTTATTCATTGCCTTTCCAGGAGGAAACGAGCATAAAACCGGATATCAATAAAAAAGATAATTCACGAGCATTCATACCCCCACTCATAGAAGAAGTTAATCAGGTATCAGGAGATACAGTGCAGTTTTATAGAGCTAATGGTCTTAGGTATGTACTAAATGTCTGTTGCATGTACATGTACATAATGTTCAAAATAGTAACATTTATTCATGTGGTACAGAAGGGTCTCACTTATGCAGCAAGTTAAGTTCTGAGCTACTGCTATAAAGTGAAATATAGCCTTTTTTCACTTTCAAATGCATATAAAAGCCTGATAACATGTTTACACTATCATATATTAAGAGAGCAATAAAGCTAGGCCTTAAAAATGCATATACAGTACACAAATTGCTTACCCTAAAATATTTTCATCCTTAGCTTATAGTAAGTGGTGAATATATTTATTGTAGGAAGCCTAAATAAAGAATGGGTACAGTTGAAAACCCCTGCATTAATAAAATGCTGTGAAGGGAAGTGCTGTAAAGTGGGGCCCTCCTGTATTTAGGACTTCCCACAGGGTTCTCTGAAATAGTACCATACAATTATTTGTACTGCCACTCTCCTCTGTGTGTGTGTGTGTGTGTGTGTGTGTGTGTGTGTGTGTGTGTGTGTGTGTGTGTGTGTGTGTGTGTGTGTGTGTGTGTGTGTGTGTGTGTGTGTTTGTGTTGATGATTTTAGTTGCATATTTTTATTTTATGATACCTGATTATGAAGAAAACTAAAAAATTGTATGGAGGATCCACCTATACTGGAAAAAATAGTTTTGCTTTATCTCTGTTTAGTATTACAACTTAATAAAAAAATTATTGGTACACATTTCCTTGGTAAATAACAAAGTTGCTTTTTTCCGTTAAAAAATTCTGATTTGGTAATTTATTTTTCTGATATAATAAACAACAATAAATTTGTTTTGGGGGCCTTATAGTGCTTAGTGGATTTATATTATTGGCTTATCAATGATTAAATACAGTGGACCCCCGGTTAACGATATTTTTTCACTCCAGAAGTATGTTCAGGTGCCAGTACTGACCGAATTTGTTCCCATAAGAAATATTGTGAAGTAGATTAGTCCATTTCAGATCCCCAAACATATACGTACAAACGCACTTACATAAATACACTTACATAATTGGTCACATTCGGAGGTAATCGTTATGTGGGGGTCCACTGTAATTCTTATTCACATCTAATTTGTTTGGTTTGACTTAACAGTAAAGGTGATGTCTTAACAGTAGCAGAAGTTAGAAGCATTGTTACAGACTACATAAAAAGGAAGGGCCTTCAGAAAGAAGGACAAAAGTAAGTCAAATTTTTTATATTTTTTGGATATTTATAAGCATTGGTTAACCCTTTCACTGTTGACCCTGTAATATTATGGCTTGCTAGTCAGGGTCGGTCCCATAATAGTATGCCAAAATTCTAGTGGCTTCAGATTTTGCTGGAGAAAGCTGGTAGATCTACATATGAGAGAATGGGTCTGAGTGGTCAGTGTGCACAGTATAACAAAAAATCCTACAGCATGCAGTGCATAATAAGAAAAAAAACTTGGACCGTGTTTTTTGTTTAAAACAGCAACCTTGTGGTGTATTTTTGTATGGTATTTATGTTTGTATTCTCATTTTCTTGGTCTTATTTGGTAGAATGGAAGATATATTACAGAACTAGAGATGGGTTTGAATGCTTTACGGACTAAGAATAGCAGAAATGTTCAATTTTTGCCAGTGTTCAAGAGTAAACAAATCACGTCACACGTCCAGTAGGTGTCAACTGGTGGGTCTTATATGATTTCACAAGTGCGCTGATATTATTTATACCATTTTTACAATAATGCAGTAGTCTGCATAACGGTAAATCTTCTATTTTGTGTCAATAAAAATTCAAAATGGAAAGCAAGGGTAATTAATATAAGCAGGGCTTGGAGACATGGTTAATGAAGAGAGAAAGTGTTATTTTAGTGCTAGAACTGTTTGCATTGTTAATTCTGGACCCTGTTTTGAAATTGGTCTTCATTGAATTGTGTATGAAATTGGCCAAATTACCAATTTCTGATCACTTTATTGGGTAATTGAAATCGGTAAATGGGTGGTTTCTTGTACTCAGTCGATAGAACAAAAGGAGTTTGGTCGACTGGAACAATGGATTTGGCTGAAAATAGGGCTCAAAGTGGGCAAAATTGCCAATACATAAATATTGCCAACACTGCTAACTTCACGAGAGCATAATTCCATAAGTTTTCCATCAAATTTCATACTTTTGGTGTCATTACCATCAGGAAAAGATTCTTTGTTATTTCACAAGATATTTTTTTTGACACTGAGAGCAAGCTTGTGAGCAGGGGTCTCGTCAGTGAATGGGTTAATACCTCTCGTAAGCACTGTTACACTTTGCTATAATATACCTGTAAAAAAAAAAAATTCCATCTGAGATGCACCAGACAATTCACCATTGTTTAGGTTTCCCTCACTGTCTCTATTGGGGCTATAACTCGCTTTTGATATGCTAATCTGAGGGTAAGGCTGTTGCTCTTTCTGGATATATCAGTAATCAGTACATGCAAATTCTCTCATTTTCACTTATGGTATTATACTTTTTGCACATTTATTTGACACTGTTCTCTTTGCTTGTTATTAATATGGTGATACCAACAAAATATGCATAAAGACCTTTATGTAGTGTTCAGGACATTTATCAAGGGAAATGCTTTACCACTATTGGCTTTTTTCAGGCTTATACAGATTAAACTATGAACATCAAAATGGTATACAATACCGACAGGTTGGTAGGTAAGACACATAGGCAACAGTTAGGCAACTTTATTCCGAAACGTTTCGCCTACACAGTAGGCTTCTTCAGTCGAATACAGAAAGTAGGCAGGAACAGTAGAGATGTGAAGACGATGTAATCAGTCCATCACCCTTGAAGTCGTAGAATTTGAGGTTGTCAGTCCCTCAGCCTGGAGAAGTTCAGTTCCATAGTCAGGAACTATCTGAAGATAGTTCAGATAGTTCCATAGTCAGGAACTATCTGAAGATAGTTCAGATAGTTCCTGACTATGGAACTGAACTTCTCCAGGCTGAGGGACTGACAACCTCAAATTCTACGACTTCAAGGGTGATGGACTGATTACATCGTCTTCACATCTCTACTGTTCCTGCCTACTTTCTGTATTCGACTGAAGAAGCCTACTTTGTAGGCGAAACGTTTCGGAATAAAGTTGCCTAACTGTTGCCTAGATTAAACTATAAAAAAAAAAGGCAGGGGAATCTTATATAGTGGTCTAAGACAGGTTACACTTAGCAAGTGTGGTGGGACATGTGGAAGTCCATGGAAGCTACCTTTATTACCACCAATATAATCCCACAAATATCAGAGCTTTGGTGTTTCCAGACTCTTAGCCAATAGATTGTTGGCCATAGTAGGATCATCTGTCACATTTTACTTATTGCAGCTTGTCCCAACACAACTCATTGTCACCTATCACAGACCCTTGTTTTAGCTCACTCTGTATTAGGACTGAAAATGCCACTAGTGGAGAAACTTTTCCCTTAATAAATGTACTGAAAGATTTGTGTCCTTATCCTCATCAACCTTTAGTATTGGCCTGGGCCAGTGATCATAATTTTACTCATTTGAACTTTATATTTCTACACAGTCATGTCATATGCATTAAGTACCTAATTACCTGCAGACTATCTTTAAATGGTTCTGGGAATCATCTTGCTTGTGTCCTGGTCACAGACCAGGTCTCCTGGTTGATGCCCCTGTCATTCAGGCTGTTGATGCTGTTATACAGGTATAGGTAGTTTAATTTTGCAATCAGTAAGCTCATGAACAAGAGTGCTGCCACAATAACTAGAAAATTTATATTATAGTTGAAAGAACCTCAAAAAGGGCTCTTAATTTCTTATATACTGTATGATATACAATACAGGACTGTATTATGGTATATTAATGTTTTTTACATAATGATATAGTATTGTAATGGTAAAGAAAATATAATATTTCAGAGTATATATTGAGCTATTATATTATGAATTCATATCTACTGATGATAATATTGTATAGATAATTTGCCTACCAAATTCTCTCCAGTAAAAGAGCTTATGTCTTAAATGTGTTGCAGAATGGTTACCCTTGATCCTCTTCTGCATGAAGCAGTAGTTAACAAGAAAGAAGGTTTCAAGGAAACCTTGCGATGGGATGAGATATTTTCTCGCATGTTGGGCAAGATGGCTCCAGCAGTAAGAATTACTAGACATGGCTCTGTCCCAATTATCAGAAAGGGCAAGTTGGAGCTGATAGAGTTGGCTGTGGCCAAAAGAAGTGGTAATAAGAAGGTTGGTATGCTGAGTCTGATTAGACATTAGTTTAACTTTCCTGTCTATTTTTTATAACAAACTATGGCACCTGAACTGTAGTATTGACACATCTCTGGCAAAACAAGTGACAGAGTGAGTGATGGTGAAAGTGTTTCTTCTCTCTTGCGTCGCCCTGCCTTAGTGGGAGATGGCTGGTGTGTTAAGAAAAAGACTATGGTATGTATCATGTTCTAATAATTGGTAAATAGACTAAAATAGTCATAACAAATAAGTAGAATTTAAAAAAAAAATTCTAAGCAAATTATACTTGCAGTAAACAGTAGAATTCTTAATAACTTGGACAAAATGAATTTGTGTTCATAGTGATGTCTGCTCTCTCATGTTGTTAGCCTCAATGTGCCAACCTGTCCTAACATAAAACAACACAACCAGCCAACATGTCCTCATCCAGCATGGCTTCTACTTCCCTCAGTAACACATCAACACACATTCTGTCATAGGTTCATGTGTGTAAATCATAGCTGTAGTATTGACAGGATTAGAAATAAAGCCTGTCTTGTTTTTCAGGTAACATTAGTATACAATGCCAGTTTATATGGCATTGATGAAGCTGAGTTTGCTCATCAAATCCAGGTTGGTGTTGCTGCCAGCACAAGTGTAGGACCTGCAGAACATAAGCCTCAAGGAACTACACAAGTTCTTGTTCAGGGAAACCAGGTTGCCTTTATTGGAAAGCTATTATTGGGTAAGTGTAGTTTTTTGTTTGGGGTGCATATTGTTGTTGCAGATAAAACATTACTTGATCACAGTTTACCTCTGAAATATTGTTTTTGGTCAGCATCATTCTCTTTAGTATTATCTACAGTATCCTGTTCATATTTTTTCCTTTCTTCATTTAGATCATATTTCTTTCTTTCAACACACCGGCCGTATCCCACCGAGGCGGGGTGGCCCAAAAGGAAAAATGAAAGTTTCTCCTTTTACATTTAGTAATATATACAGGAGAAGGGGTTACTAGCCCCTTGCTCCCGGCATTTTAGTTGCCTCTTACAACACGCATGGCTTACGGAGGAAGAATTCTGTTCCACTTCCCCATGGAGATAAGAGGAAATAAACAAGAACAAGAACTATTAAGAAAATAGAAGAAAACCCAGAGGGGTGTGTATATATATGCTTGTACATGTATGTGTAGTGTGACCTAAGTGAAAGTAGAAGTAGCAAGACGTACCTGAAATCTTGCATGTTTATGAGACAGAACAAAAAGACACCAGCAATCCTACCATCATGTAAAATAATTATAGGCTTTCGTTTTACACTTGGCAGGACGGTAGTACCTCCCTGGGCAGTTGCTGTCTACCAACCTACTACCTAGGTAGATCGTATTTTACTATGTATAATATCTTAAGTTCAGCATTTTAAATTTTTATGTTTGGTTTATATTAAAAAAAAAATTCCTCTTCTAGTAAAATTACATCCAAGATAGATGAATTATTGACTTCCCCCACTTAAGTTTTCTCCGATCTGAAACTTGATCTCAGAGATTTAAAAAAAAAATGATTTTTTCTTACGAAATGATAATCTTTTTCCGAAGGTAATGAAATCAAAAGTACGAAATTTGGTGGAAAACTTGTGGAATTATGCTCTCAAAAAGTTAGTGATCTTGGCGATATTTATGCATCGGCAATTTCACCCACTTAGAGCCCTATTTACATCCATTTCCATTGTTCCAATTGACCAAACTCATAGCTATTTTTCTATTAATTCTTCTATTCTATTGAGTGAGTACAAGAAACCTCTCATTTACCTACTTCAACTACTCAATAAATTGATCAGAATTTGGTAATTTGGCCAGTTACATACAAAACTAAAGAATTACCAATTTCAAAATATGGTCCAGAATAAACAATGTAGACATTCCTGGCACTAAAACAACAATTTCTCTATTGTTTAGTCACATCCTCCTATATTTTGCTTGCTTTCCATTTTGAATTTTTATTCACACAAAAAATAGAAAATTTACTGTTATGAAAACTACTGCATTATTGTAATAATTGTATAAATAATGTCACTGCATTTGTGGACACACATTGGACTGACTAGTTGAATGTGTACTGGACGAGTGACAATTTGTGTACTCAGGAATATCGACAAAAATCAAACATTTCCACTACCTTGAGCTCAATTTCAAGCTACTTTCAGTCCTAAAACTAATCAAAATCATCTCTATATCTGTAATACATCTTCCATTCTATTAAACGAGACCAAGAAACCGAGAATACAACAAAAACCATACAAAAATACACTGCAGAGTCGCTGTTTTAATCCCTTAACTGTCCAAACGTTGATCTATGTTTTCGCTGCTAGTGCTCCAAATATTTTGATTTTGTTTTAAATAGGGCAATTTTCTGTGTGTAATAACACCAAAAGAAAAAAAAAATTAGGGTCAATACTTGCCAAGATGTAAGGGCGCGAAGTTGGTGCTGGATGATCACATGACGGCAACGTGGAGTCCTGCCACTTGCAGAAATGTTACCGATATACCTTTTTTTTTCCATATTTGTTTTTTAGTTTACATTATTTTTGTTCTGATAATTAAAATTTGTAGGAGCTCTTGTGATTTTATAGCCAGTCTTCGTTCTGACACTAGTATTAGGTACAGAAATTGTAATCAGCCACAAGCACACTGACAGGTGAACAAGTTCATCTGCCTTGGTCACATACTATTGTCTAGAAATATTAGTATTTTAATTTTTATTTATTAACACACTGGCCGATTCCCACCAAAGCAGGGTGGCCCAAAAAAGAAAAACTTTCACCATCATTCATTCCATCACTGTCTTGCCAAAAGGGTGCTTTACACTACAGTTTTTAAACTGCAACATTAACACCCCTCCTTCAGAGTGCAGGCACTGTACTTCCCATCTCCAGGACTTAAGTCCGGCCTGCTGGTTTCCCTGAATCCCTTCATAAATGCTACTTTGCTCACACTCCAACAGCACGTCAAGTATTAAAAACCACTTGTCTCCATTCACTCCTATCAAACATGCTCATGCATGCCCACTGGAAGTCCAAGCCCCTCGCCCACAAAACCTCCCTTACCCCTTCCTTCCAACCTTTTCGAGGACAACCCCTACCCCACCTTCCTTCTACAGATTTAAATGCTCTCCATGTCATTCTACTTTGATCCATTCTCTCTAAATGACCAAACCACCTCAACAACCCCTCTTCAGCCCTCTGACTAATACTTTTATTAACTCCACACCTTCTCCTAATTTCCACACTCCGAATTTTCTGCATAATATTTACACCACACATTTGCCCTTAGACAGGACATCTCCACTGCCTCCAACCGCCTCCTCGCTGCTGCATTCACAGCCCAAGCTTCACACCCATGTAAGAGTGTTGGTACTACTATTCTTTCATACATTCCCTTCTTTGCCTCCATAGATAACGTTTTTTGACTCCACATATACCTCACACACAACTCACCTTTTTTCCTTCATCAGTTCTATGATTAACCTCATCCTTCATAAATCCATCCGCCGACACGTCAACTCCCAAGTATCTGAAAACATTCACTTATTCCATACTCCTCCTCCCCAATTTGATATCCAATTTTTCTTTATCTAAATCATTTGATACCCTCATCACCTTACTCATTTTTATGTTCACTTTCAACTTTCTACCTTTACACACACTCCCAGACTCATCCACTAACCTTTGCAATTTTTCTTTAGAATCTCCCGTAAGCACAGTATCATCAGCAAAAACTAACTGTGTCAATTCCCATTTTGTATTGATTCCCATAATTTAATCCCACCCCTCTCCCGAACACCTAGCATTTACTTCTTTTACAACCCCATCTATAAATATATTAAACAACCATGGTGACATTACATCATCCCTGTCTAAGACCTACTTTTACCGGGAAGTAGTCTCCTCTCTTCTTACACACCCTAACTGAGCCTCACCATCCTCATAAAAACTCTTTACAGCATTTAGTAACTTACCACCTATTCCATATACTTGCAACATCTGCCACATTGCTCCCCTATCCACCCTATCATATGCCTTTTCTAAATCCATAAATGCAATAAAAACTTCCCTACCTTTATCTAAATACTGTTCACATATATGCTTCAATGTAAACACTTGATCTACACATCCCCTACCCACTCTGAAACCTCCTTGCTCATCTGCAATCCTACATTCTGTCTTACCTCTAATTGTTTCAATAATAACCCTTCCGTACACTTTTCCTGGTATACTCAATAAACTTATTCCTCTATAATTTTTACAGTCTCTTTTGTCCCCCTTCCCTTTATATAAAGGGACTATACATGCTCTCCGCCAATCCCTAGGTACCTTCCCCTCTTTCATACATTCATTAAACAAAAATACCAACCACTCCAACACTATATCCCCCCTGCTTTTAACATTTCTGTCATGATCCTGTCAGTCCCAGCTGCTTTACCCCATTTCATTCTACATAATGCCTCACAAACCTCCCCCACACTCACATTCTGCTCTTCTTCACTCCTAAGAGATGTTATACCTCCTTGGCCAGTGCATGAAATTACTATCTCCCATTCTTCATCGACACTTAAAAGTTCCTCAAAATATTCCCGCCATCTACCCTATACCACTAGCTCCCCATCTACTAACTCCCCTACTCTGTTTCTAACTGACAATCTATTCATTCCTTAGGCTTTCTTGTTTATCACACTCCAAATTTTTTTTCTTATTTAATCAAAATTTCTTGACAGTGCCTCTCCCACTCTTATCATCTGCTCTCCTTTTGCACTCTCTTCACCTTTTTTTTTTACTCTCCATATACTCTGCTCTTCTTATAACACTTTAAAACTATTCCAACCCTCTTCAGCCCCCCACTACTCACACTTGCACTAGCCCACCTTTCTGCCAATAGTTCCTTATATCTCACCCTAAGTTCCTCCTCCCTTAAGAACATAAGAACGAAGGAACACTGCAGCAGGCCTACCGGCCCATGCGAGGCAGGTCCAAGTCTCCTACCGGCTTAAGCCAATGCACCCAACCTAGTCAGGTCAGGTCACATTGACTTAAGGGAGGAACACGGCAACCGACCTGGTAGCACAAGCTATCAGGTCCAACTCACACCCACCCACATCCACTCATGTATTTATCCAACCTATTTTTAAAGCTACACAACGTTCTGGCCTCTATAACTGTACTCGGGAGTTTGTTCCACTCATCCACAACTCTCTTACCAAACCAGTACTTTCCTATATCCTTCCTGAATCTGAATTTTTCCAACTTAAAACCATTGCTGCGAGTCCTGTCTAGGCTAAATATTTTCAGCACACTATTTACATTTTTTTTTTATTATTATCACACTGGCCGATTCCCACCAAGGCAGGGTGGCCCGAAAAAGAAAAACTTTCACCATCATTCACTCCATCACTGTCTTGCCAGAAGGGTGCTTTACACTACAGTTTTTAAACTGCAACATTAACACCCCTCCTTCAGAGTGCAGGCACTGTACTTCCCATCTCCAGGACTCAAGTCCGGCCTGCCGGTTTCCCTGAATCCCTTCATAAATGTTACTTTGCTCACACTCCAACAGCACGTCAAGTATTAAAAACCATTTGTCTCCATTCACTCCTATCAAACACGCTCACGCATGCCTGCTGGAAGTCCAAGCCCCTCGCACACAAAACCTCCTTTACCCCCTCCCTCCAACCCTTCCTAGGCCGACCCCTACCCCGC